ATTTGCAGCGTTTTTGATAAAACAGTTGTTCGCTCTGGTGCCTTTGTTTTTTTGCGTCAATTTTTGTCCACACACTTTTGCGCGTTTTCCCTTTCGTTCCCCTTTCCTTTCGCTAAGTGCTAATGCAAAATGTAATTAAATGATAAGTACTACAATTACAATGGTACAATGCGTTGAATGTTCATCAACTGTTTGTTTTGTGTTTTTTTTTTTTTAATAAATTTATTTATTTATTTTTGTTTTTCATTGAATTTTTTCTTTTATTTATTTATATATGTACTTACTTAATGCATTAGAATAATTATTTTTAATACATACTGCACTGCTGGGTTTTATGTGGTAAGTATCTACTATCATTGTGTAATTACAATACATTCCATAACTTTTAATTTCTACTTTGTTTTTGCTTTCTGACTACAATTATTCACTTTTTCACATTTCATTGCAGCTGTTTTTCTTCTTTTTGTTTTTTTTTAATACAATACATACATTTTCACTAAAAGCTAATCACTTATTTACGGTAAATCTATTCTGTAAGTATAATCATTATGTAATTATTGTTTAGTTGTATGTATGTTTGTGCTTAATGTAAAACACAAAATCCTGTATACATGCGATTATTTACAATTTACAAAAAAATATACACTTTTTTAATTTTAATTTTTTTTTATTTTTTATTTTGCAACGCTCAGAGGTTTTAACGCCTGTTGCCAATAGTTTTTTTTTCTCTTAAAATTTTTGTCAAAATTGTGCACAGTTTTCATTTGTCAACTTTTAAGTTGCAAATATTTTTTTTATATTTTTTTTTTTACTAATTAATAAATTATTTTACAAACGACAGGAACAAAAATGTTTTGGGCTTAAAACAATACAAAACAACCTAGGCGACTATATTTATGTTTTAAAATATACACTGAAAAAAAAATCTTACCAATATTTATAACTTTTTCTGCGCTTCCACGCTGCTCTTTCTTACGCTGATATGTTTCTTTTGTTTTCTTGTGAAAGTAAAAAAAAACAAAACTTCGAGTACACTGAGAAAAGAGTGCAAATGTATATAATAATCAAATCATGTATTGAGAGAATTATACGAACTCTTTTCCCAGTGTAGTTCTGCAGCGCAAATTCTTCACTGAACTTCGTTTTGTGTCTCGACTATTTTTTTGCTGTTGAAATACTTTTTTGTTACACTTGAAATAACAATTTGAAAATGCTTATTACGCTCCACACTTCAAAATACTACTCGGCGATGTTTCCTGCTTTACTTTTTTTTTTGTTATTCGCGATCCACCCACCTATTTCTTGCATTTTTTACAATTTCTTTCACTAACTGTTACTTTCTATAAGCTCTGTTTGCATAAGTTGTATTTGTATGATTTTCTGGGTTTTCTCTGTGTATTTTTTGCTTTATTTTGCTTATGTGCCGCTTTCTTCACCCCAAAGCTATTTATTTACAATGTTATGAAAAATAGGAAAGTTAAAAATTTCGACCAGGCCCGCCATTGGCTAAGCGCCTTCGAAAATTTTCTCTAATCCTGTTAACTTAATAGATATTTATTTACGCTGAAATATTTCACGGCTAATCAAATACTTTTTGGTGTAAACGTCTTCAAGTGGGCCGGTATGTGCGTACGTACGAGTACTCACCGCTTGCGCACAATTAAAAATTATCAAATCACATGTAAATTATTGTCCGATATAGTACAAATTGTCAATTTCGATGCGCCCACAGCACTGCCTGCATATCGCCGCGCTTCCCTGCTTGCTTACCACTCAATCAGCAACAGCAAATCACCGCGCTTTCGTTCACTTGCGCCCTGTGCCTCGAATTACGGCCGCAGCGTCACTTTGGGCGCCTGCTGCTGCAGATGTTGCTCGCGAAAGGCGATCAGCGAGCGGAAGGCCGACATTGGCGAGGAGGCGGCTGCTGCTGCGGCCGCTGCTGCCGCCGGTATCACATGGCTCAGCGTATGCGTGTGCGTATGAGTGTGTGTGTGCGTGAGCGCAGACGTTGGTGTGCTAACGAGCAGCATTGTGGACGAGGTGGGCGTCGATTGCGACTGCGACTGCGACAGCGACGCATTAACACCGGACAACATAGCTGTTGTTGTTGTTGTTGTGGTTGCAGAAGTGGTGATTGCCGCTGCCGGCGGCGTAGGTGATACCGTCAAATGTCATGGTTTGCCCGGCGACAGCTTGCCCGAGTTGGAGGAATTCGACGAGGAGGTCGAATTGCCCGATATGGGACCCATATGGTGCGACTGTGCTAGACTCATCGATGTGGGCGGCTGCACAACATCGCAACCAATTGAAGAGGAGGTGCTGGAGGCCGACGGCGAGGCGCCCGATGGCGGCGGCACATGGTGTGGCGCATGGTGATTGCCCGTTGTGGTGAGGCTGAGTGGCGCGAAGGGCGTGCCGCCAGCGACGGCGGCCTTCCACAGCAGCGGATTCATGCTGAGTCCATTATGCGCAGCCAGACTGGCACCGAAATTGCGCTGATGCTCGAGAAATTCCTGAGAGGGACCGGTTAGGCCGGCGGGCCCATAGAAACCGCGATAGAGGTCGGGACGCACGTAGGGCGAATAGTTTGGTATGCGCGCCGCCAGTGGCGAGAGAATCTTACCGGTTGTAGCATGCTGCGCGGGATGGCCGTAGAGGGCGGGGTGTGTGGGAGGAAGTTCGCCGAGGCTAGCGCCTGCTAAGCCAATACTGCCGGGTGGACTGTCTTTTGGCGAGGAATCTTTGCCATCTTTGGAGGCCATGTCCGCCAGCGACCATATGCGCGGTTTCACTGCCAAGCTGGCGCTTGTGCTGCCCCCACCGACACCGCTCGCAGACTGCAATGAGTTTTGCTGTGCTTGTTGGTGTTGGTGCAGCAGCTGCTGCTGATGGTGGTGGTAGGCGGCGATGTCGGGCGGTGAACCAGCTGGTGGGCGGAAGTGATGATGTAATGCGGCGGGATGGAAGAGTGGATGACCGCCGCCAGGCATGCCGCCGGGGCGATCGTAAAGGTCGGGTGAGCCATTGGGGGAACCGGGACGCGAGCCAGACCATTCGCTGTTGTTGCTCTCACCGGGACGATCACCAAGATCGCCAAGCCGATTGGAGCGATCTTTGTCGTCGTTTGAGCCGAGGCCAGAGTCTTTGGCGTCTGTAAGTGGTAGAGTAAAGAAAACAGAAGAAAAAGCGAAAGCGGTTAGTTAAATGTAATGGTAGTAGGCGATTATGAAAAAGACAATATTATTTGCGAAAAGTGTTTTGCTCTTACCTAGCAAGTCATTGTCATCGGTGCTCTTGTGGTCGTCGTCATCCATATTGGCATCGTCGTCATCGACACGATTTCTGGGCTCCCACGTCATTTTATTCTCCTTTTTCAGTCTTCTTCTCGCATTCGCGAACCACGTCGACACCTGCGTCAACGTCATTTTCGTAATTATTGCCAACATGATTTTCTCGCCCTTAGTGGGGTATGGATTCTTTTTGTGTTCGTTCAGCCAGGCCTTCAGCGTTGAGGTGGTCTCGCGGGTGGCATTCTTGCGACGCGCTCCATTCAAGTCGACACCATAACTGCAAGCAGACGGAGGAAAACAAAACGAAAAGGGCAAAGGTTAATACTGCTTTAGCGGCTTAGCGGAAGGGGTTGTACATATGTATGAGTTACAAAATCTTGTATGTAACAACACTTGAGGGGCAGTAGCCCGCTGTTGGGAAGGGTGGGTGGTGGTTTTAATGTTGTCGACACGGCTGAGTGCAGGTGATTACAATTAAATATAATGCGACGTAAGGCGATTAAAAAATGTGCGACATGGCAATTTTAGGGCGCCAAGACATTGAGACAACATTTGAATTGCGCTGACGCTCTGGAAAAAGGGGTTTAGAAGGCGTAAAGTAAATGGGGTATTTAGGAAACTGTTAACTTCTGGTAATAAGTGCGCTATTTATAAATGTTCACATATGTATGTGTGGATGTGTGTAGGTATTTATGTCAGCGTGACAATAAAATTTTCAATTTAAAATGCTTTCAAATTTTTCTCTTAGAAATAACAGATTTTCAGACGCGGCAACTGCCAAACCCACAAAAAAAAACTCCACCAAACACACAGACACAATCAGCGCAAAAATTTCAATCAAATTGTAAAAATTTCGCCACGCCAAGCAAACGTTAAAAACAGCTGTTGCATGCAGCCCAACAAATGCATTCGCACCCACACGCGCACGCAATCTACAACAATCGTAAAAAACTTGTTTTGCATTACATTAACGTCAGTGCTTCGTTGCTGCTGTTACACTTATTAAATTACGCAGCAAAAAAAAGCAACAACAAAAAACGTGGAAAATCAACAGACAAGCACAACAGTTAACAGACAACATGATTCGCAGCGATTTTTTAATTGATTTTACGCACAAGGCGCGACACAACGCAACGCAACGCAATGCAATGCAGCACCGCGCACACAACTGCCGCCTGCCACACATGCCACAGTCATTGTGGCGGCGGCAGCGCAACTAGCAGCCGGCCGCATGCCACACCTTTGGCGCGAAACTTGGCGACCGACCACATTGGGGCGGACAAGCCGCAAAATTTGGCGGCACTCGGCCCAGCTTCGTTGCTTTTCCATGGCGACCAGCTCGGCGGTCAGCGGTTGGCATTTACGCGCAATTTGTGGTCTTTTAATAGGCGCTGCGGCAACAAAAAAAAAGTGACGAAGTTAAAAAAAATTAAAAATAACAAAAAGAAAATTACTAAAAAAGCGAAAAATTAAAATCAGCGCACGGCGAGCGCTTGATTGGTTATTTGGTGGACGCCCACCAGCTTTACAGGGTGCTGTTCTCTGTGTGCTTGGAAGCTGGCGTAAAATAATCGCCAATAACAACAAGTGCACACCTAAATACATATTTTTTTGTTTTATCGACTGATGGCGCACATTTGCTTATTATGGCCTTTTGTGGTTTTGTGGCCAGCTGGTCGGTGTCGTTGAGCAGCTTTTATGGGCTGGGCAGTTTGCTTAGCCGTCGGCAAAACCACCACTCGTGCGTATGCATATAGAGTCCATATACTATGTAGTCAGTTGAGTGTTTGTATATTTGTATTTGCGTATGTTGCTTACAAACAGTGATTGGGCGGGCGCCACATTGTGGGCTGTACCTATTCTTTAGCATACACACACACACGCGCAAAAAAATGTACGTACATGTTGTTTGAATGTATCTCAATTTTACGGCTTGTTGCAAGTAAGTATACATATTTACATATCTGTAGTGTAATAATGTAATAATGTTTGCATGGAAAAGGTTTTGTGAATATTTGTTTGTATGTATGTTTGCCGTGTCAGTTACGGATATATTGGCTTCGCTTCAACCACATAATTGCTGTTTTAACATGAAAATGGCTTGCTGCTGATGCTGTTGTTGCGCGGATGCATATGTATGTATAATAAAAATATTTTGCAGACACTCATGCTTACATATACGTATAGTAAGTACGAGTGTGTATGTACATACATGGTATGTTTACAGCAGATTATTAGCAATGGCCGAATAGCAGAAATATATGTATATGCATAAGTGCATACATTAGGGTCTTCCACAATAAGCGAAGTCGGAATTTTAATGCTCTCGCCCCCAGGATGGTTCTATACCGAAAAAAATATACCCCGTTTTTTATTATTTTGAGATCATAAAGTATATATGGAGAAAAAATTGTTTCATAGAAAAGGTATAGAATTCTTGAAAGTCAATATTTTTCGATCGGAAAACTCTGCTTCTCATCAGGAGACTTGCAATAATAAAAAGCACTTATTTACTTAGCAATTTTTTAATGTTAACTATTTCTACAACATATATCCCCCAAAAACCCCAAAAACTGCAATGGGGGTCTCATCAAAAATCGTTAATACCTGTTAAAAAATGGTTAAATAGACAATTGGAGAAACGGAGGTTTTTCACATATAAAGTAGTTGGAAAACTTTAAATGCTTTAAGCGACCTCTATTTTTTCATTTGGAAAAAAACGGGGATATATTTTTTCGATGTAGAACCATCTTAAGAGGTTAGAGCATTAAAATTCGTACTTTACTTTTTCACACGCATATTTGGACTACCCTAGTATACTTTACGCTTTATATTACAGAATTTAGTCCCAATGTAATTGGTTTCTCTTCATTAAGTTTTGGAGGAATATCAACTCAAATTTTCAAATTTTTAGTAAATTTTTTCGAACGGTGAGAAATTTGATTCCTCGACTAAATAAAATATCAGAACGTTATTCTGGATTAAATGGACAACACGAAAGGTTTTTTCGAAGCTACTTATGAAATAATGGCGAAGTTCAAAAAGAAAAGAAACCATGTGCTATTCCCCTCTAAGTAAGTAGTAAGGATTACTAAAGCGAAGTAGTAAAGAGATTATACATATTTACATATATAAAACAATGATTAGAGACATAAGACATTTAACAGTTGTTAGATTATTTATTTATTTTATTTTTTTGAATTTTGAGTTGTGTTGTTATTGCAGAGTACCATTAGTATGTAAGAAAAAATTGAATGGTTTTGATAGCAAGGCTATTAAGTGCAATCATATTTAAGTCCAGAAGCACCTACTAAGTATTTCGTAGTAGTAAGCAGATATGAATAACTTCATTTAAA